GGAAAGATGGAAAATCCAAAGCACACAGAAACCAGCTGAATTATTCACAGAAAGTATGTTCCAGAAAGAAGTACTGAACCTGGACTCTGTTTTGCCCTTCTGTTATTCTCTTCTGCTGGTACACCGTAATTTCCCATTTGTTCACAAACACTTATGAGTGTGTCCTATGTGAAACTTGAACATTCAAGGTCTGCTTGGAGCACCTTTTTCTTCCGATGCAAGGACTGCTGATTAGGTTGTTACAACACCAAGAATGAAATAAACTTCACTGTACCAGGGAAGTCTCATCTGTAAGTTATTCCTTAACGCTAAAGCTCACCTAACAACTCATCACACAAAAGATGCATTTTCAGGACGTTCCAAATGTAGTTCAACAAAGCAAATGCTTGCAGATTCTTGCCCTGCCAGAAACTGCTGATGTGCCTACCCACAAGAAACATACAGCTAAGGGCAGAATTGCCACCTTATTACCTCCCTGTGCCTTGGCCGGCGGCGGGCGGCGGCGGGGGAGGCACCCCCGCGGGGATTTCAGGTCGTTTCCCTCACCCCAGGGCCAGGTACCTAGCGTCCGCGCTTCTCCTGCCTCCCCTCGGTGACCCACCCGTGTGGTCAGGGCAAGAGACCAGGGGGTGGGATTAGCCGCTAGTTCTTTGCTGTGAGTTGGCCAGGCGGGGGGGGGAGCAGGAGGCCTCCGGCCACCGCGGCCGCCGGTAGCGGCCCCCCCGGGTAGGGATGGCCATGGGCCCCGGGCTCCGGGGCCGCGGGGTCTCGGTCGGAGAGCCGGGCGTGTTAAAGCCGCGGGCGGCCCGGTCCGACCCGGGGGGCAGCCGGGCGTGCTGCCGGAGGGGCCGGGGGGTCGGCGCGCGCGGGCGCCGCACCCCCCCATGCCCGCCGGCGCGGCCCGTGCATGCCCCGCGGGCAGCCGGGACGGAGAGGGGTACCCTGCCCCCTCTCTCCGCGGTCTGGTCTCGGCGGAGAGACGCCGCGCGGTCGGCTTGCGCCGGCCTGCCTCGAACGCGCGACCCCGGCGCGAGCGCGTGCTCGCCGCCGGGGCCGCGAGCCCCCCCCGCGTCCGTCCCGCCTCGCCCGTCTGCCTGCCGCCAGGCGTCTGCCCGCGGAAGGGACGGGCGAGTGCGTGGCGTCGCTCGGGAGGCTGCGTGTGTGCAGGCGGGTGTTGGGTGCCGTCTCCGGGGCGGCGGAGCTGGAGGCCGGTGAGGCGAGCGAAGGAGCTCGGAAGCGTGCGGCTGGCGGGTCGCGGGCGCGCGGGCAGCGGGTGGCGCCGCTCCCAGCGGCGGCCGGGCTCCGACGCCGGGGCTCCGCGGGGACCCACACCCCGGTCCCTGAGGCAGGGGGGGCGGGCGGGGGGGCGCGCCCCCAGGCCGAGCCGGGCGCCTGGGCCGGACTCGAAGCGAGAAAGGGGTTGTCCCAGGTCGGGAGCGAGGGCTCCCCGCCCCTCTCGTTCGGGTCTGTTCTCCCCCCCCCCC